TGAACTCTAATTGGCTTTGAAATCGTAAAACCAGAGACATTCCTCCTGTATATTATACAAAGAAACATACAAAATTCATTTATCCGTCTATGAAAACGAATCTAATTGTGAAACATTGGCATGTGGCTGTGTCCCCAAAAAAAAAAAACCAAAAACAAAATCAAAAAAGAATATTGGTGTATATCCTCCTATTCCCCCCTAAAGAAAGTTCACATCTAAAGGGTCTGTCCATATAATAATCCACCAAATCTACTCCCAAACAGATGGACACATCCACTCTCTGGGCGGCCTCAATGATGAGAATCTGATTGGGCTGCTCAGTCGGATCACGGAGCTGGAGGAGTCCGATCGCGAGACCATTCATCTGTTGGTCTTCATGCTGATGCAGTTCATGTCACGCACGGATCAGGCCTTCCCCTCGGAGGATAAGCCAGTGACCAGGACACAGAATATCGTCTTGAAGCATTTGTTTTTGCTGCTGGGACACAATCAGATCGACAAGACCTTCCACACCACCCCAGAATCGCTAAGGTGGGTGTCGGCAGAGGATCCCTATATCCAAATTTCTATAATCTATAATCTTTCCCTTAGGGTGTCGGCCGTTTTCAATGCCTTTCTGGCCAATCTGCCGCAGGTGCTGGACCAGAATCATCTGATTGGCGGTCTCATCCTCCCCTCCGTCATGCAGATCATCCTGTATGCCCCCTATCCGACCAACACTTCGGGAGAGTCCTATCAGAACATTGTCTTCAACTATTCCCTGTGGCATTTAGAGCAGTATCCGCGACGGAACTGGCTCTTTACCCTCCTCGTAGTGCTCTACAAGTACTCGTACACCCAGCCGCCGCTCAGTGGATACATCATCTCGGGCATTCGTATGATCATGAACAGCCTGCGTGGCCATTTCCATCAGTGTAGGCGGATTCCGACGACCACAATACTGGATATCCAGGGTGTGGGCGGGGCAGCTCGCTCGCGTGATGTCAGCCAGCCCTCGCTGGGCACCGATCCGGATGACAAGGAGGCCAGTCCGCCGGTCAGTCCCATGTTCCCATCGGAGGCCACCAGTGCCGCCTCCAAGAGCAAGGGCAATGTGGCCTTCACACCGAAGCTGCAGCATGCGTTCAGGAAGTACAATGACTCCAGCCTGGATGCGGATGAGACCGAGTCGGAGCTGGTAGCCATACCAGAGAGCGATCTCTCGGACAGCACCCTGCATGGCAGTGCACCGGTGGGTTTCAATACTCCATATAGCCGTATATTATTTTGAGCTAAAGAGAATCGATTCCCACTCTAGGGCTCCTTTGATGACACCATACACTTTGAGGATGTGATGCCCACCCGCAAGCGCCTCGAATACACGGAGGAGGTACCATACATGGCTTTTGCATTAGTGATACTTAGTTTTAATGCATTTTCCTTTATAGAAATCCACAAAATCGCACAAGTCGATGATCACCACCAAAGTGGGCGATACGTACACGACCAAAATCAAGGCCACCACCACCAGCGAAACCCTCGTGACCACCCGTCACAGTCTGCAGGAGGGCGTACGCATGATCGTCACGCCTTTGGTGGCTGCAGAGACCACAGAGACGGCCATTGTGAGTCCCCCCGTGGATGTGCATCGGGCGGTGACGGTGCGCAACAAATCGCTGGAGAATGCGGCCGCTTCCACATCGAAAATGTTTGCCGCAATTGCAACTAACCATCTGAAGGCACTCGGTGCCCTGCAGGATGTCCCCGGAACAGCGGACAGAAAGCCCGGCTCCAGCAGCGGCAGTGGCAGTCGCTCGGTCAATGGCAATGCGACTGCTGCTCCAGCACCGACTGCAGCTCCAACAAAGTCCATAGGACGCCACAAGACGATTGTGGAGTGCAGTGCCGGAACATCGAGCTCCTCGATGGACGATTCCCGTCATCAGAAAAAGTCGCAGACAAAGTCCCTGAAGCGCACGGACAAGAACTACGGCTCTCCGGACTCGCCGCTGTCCAAGATGAGCGTGATGCCCAATCCCAGGGATGAGATGGATGCCGCGATGCAGGGCCTGCCGCCGCCAAAGAATATTGCCGCCTTGGAGATCCCAACTCCGGAGAGACTGCTACCCATTGGCACCCAGGATACAGTGGCAGCACTGGTGGAGCGTGTGCGGGAGGGGCTGAATCTTCCGGATATCAGCCACCTCAAGCAGGACAGTCTAGATGTCTCGGAAAGCACCAAGGACGATGTGACGCCCAGCAGCCGCACCAACTCTCCCCGTCGGCTCATTAAGCAGGTGGCCCTGGAATCGCCACCGAATCCCAATGCCCCGTCCACATCGCAGCAGCCCACACAGCCTCCCGCTGATCTCCACACTTCCATTCTGAAGAATGTCCAGCAGGAGCTAAAGCAGAGCGCGGGAGGAGCCCCCGCTGGAGGAGCAGCGGGCGGAGGCCTAACCTCCAGCAACAGCATCAAGCGACCCCGCCAGAAGCTGGCACCTTTCAACGTCGACACCAATGCCATACCAGACATACGTTCTCGGTTTGCGGGCTCCTGGCCACCGCCTCCGTTCCAGCCCGCTGAGCCAGATCCAGACGATGAGGGAGACGATGGTGTAGGCGAGGCCACCAATGGACATGGAACCTCGCATGGGACCGCACATGTGCCACGTGGGGTAGGTCTCTAAGCAATTGACAGTCCCTTCACGGTACTAATTTCTTTATCTTTAGAGCGCACGTCGCGTTGGAGACTACACCATCGTCGAGCGATGTTCCGATTGCGGTGCTCACATTGAAGAGTACACAGACGAGGAGATTGGCATATTCATCGTGATCTTGGGAACTTTTATCCACCGCGAACCGGCCATGGCAGCGCCCTTTCTCCCAGAGATCCTCACTATGACTTCGCGGTAAGAAAGAGACTCTCAAAACGAAATCCTAACTAGACTGACACAAACTCCCGTACCGTTTCCAGCATCTGTCTGAGCTCTACCCACTCCTGGCAGGGGGAGAATGGTCCGCCTTTGGCCTGCAGCGCACAGGCAGTGGCCCTGCAATTCATACGCTGTGTCCTCCATCAGCTGGCGCCGAATGGGATCTTCCTGCAGGTGTTCCAGACCCAAATGAAGAGTGAGTGTTGTGTGATATCCAAGAAGAGCGAAACCCTATCATTGCCATACCATTCTCCATTGCAGTGAAAATCCGTCACAATCATTTCCGCAGCATTGCGAAGGCGCTGCAGGATTTCCAGGATCTGAATGCCACCAGTCCCATCTACATGGTGTGCGAGTCGTTGACCTCCAAGAAGGCTCTGCCAGTGGATCAGCTGCCGGTGATCTTCCGGAACATGGCCGAGTATCTGAATCTTCAGTGTGTGCCCGCCGAAGCAGGCGTGGGCCTGGCCATGTGGTCGCAGGCCATGCAGGCGATGGAGTCCTTGCTGCGGCAGGTGATTGTGATCATGCCGAGCCTGACCAACGCCGAGTACATGCTGGACATCATTGCGGCCACGCTGCGTCTCAACTGCGTGCCCAAGACCCTACTCGATCCGTACTCGAAGATCATGGCCTACTGCGTGCAGCACACGAATCTCGAGTACCAGACCGTCTACGAGCTGTGCACCCTCAACACGCGCTCGTTCAGCAAGGATCGCGACAAGAACCTGCTCTGCCGCCAGATGATCTTCGAGTTTGTGCAGGCCCTCAAGTTCAAGTCGAATATTCCCGACCACAATCTCCTGGTGATTATTGGCGTTGTTCTCCTCGATGCCGGGGGTACTTTGCCGCCGGGATCTGCTCCTGGCATGCCCGATGCGGCTCCCATGCTGACCACCAACTCCGCCGACTGCTTGCGGCAGTATATCAACGATGTGATTGACTTTCTGGCCGATTTCCACACTCTCAGCAAGATCAAGGTGGGACTCCAGCAACATTCTAGCCTTTTTCATTATCCTTCATCGTTGCAGCACTTGAAGAACGGACAAACGAGCAACGGCCTTGGCGAGGACACACTGGGGGGCGTGCTCAAGGGAGCCGTGGCCCAATATCTGGCTCTGGAGATGTCGCGAGGGAACTCCAGAGACAACAGGGCTGTCTCCCGCTATCTACCGTGGCTAAACAATGCACCCTCTTCCCTGCAGCAGGGGTAGGTATTGAAGCAGCCAAAGAAAATGGCCAAAATCCGAAGGGAATTCTCTCTTCTTTCAGTCCCAAAGAATTCACCGAATGCGTCGGACATATGCGTCTGCTCTCTTGGCTGCTGCTCGGCTCGCTGACCCACATGGTGCTGATGCAGCGTCGCCAGGAGACTCACACCATACCGACGCCTCCGCCAAATCCTCCCCCAGGCCAGGGCCAAGCGCCCGCAGCCAGTGTCCACTATCAGCACCAGGGCGTGACCTACTCCCAGCCAGTGCCGCAGGAAGCCTCCTGCCACATCGCCGATCACATTCAGGTGATATTCGCTGGCTTTGCCGAGCAGTCAAAGACCTCGGTGCTGCACATGTCCTCGCTCTTCCATGCGTTTACCCTCTGCCAGCTGTGGACCGTGTATCTGGAGCAGATGGCGCACAACACCACCAGCAATGTAGAGGGCGGTACGCTGGGCGTACTCTTCGAGTTCTGGGCCAAGGTAACGCCCTGCATCCTGCAGCTGGTGTCCCACGCCAAGCCCACTATCAACAAGGATCAGCCACAGTCCAGTGTGGACTTCCAGACGCAAAGTGCCAACTCCAAGCTATCCGAAATGGTGAATCTTCACTTCCTCAGTCTGCTGGAGGCTCTCAAGGACACAAACTCCACGGTGCTGGGCAAGCTGCTGCCCATGTGGAGCCCCGTGCTCTCCTCGCAGACGCAGCTCTCGGACACGCTTCATGTGCGCCTGCAGAATGTGCGCGACTGTGCGCCGGACTACGAGGAACAGCAGGCCTTCAGGTCGGAGGCCCTGCTCAAGTGGCTGCAGCGATTACAGTTCAAAATGGGGCAGATCGAGCTACAGGCCTCCACAGCCACACAGTTCTATTCGATTTAAAATGGTGTTATAATCGTATATAATCTTATCCACTATCTGTTGTTGCCTACACAAATAAATTATTCACAGTGTTAACGAAAAGCTGGCCAGGAATAGGGCGAGGGAGTTACTCGTAGACCGTGTAATGTATGCCACTAGAGGATGCTCCCCTGTCGAGACTCGTGGGATCATGCACTTCATTCTGCTCGCTGGGCTTTTGCTTGCCCTCAATCAGATAATCCACTTGGGGATTGCGATAATTCTTGAACGATGCCTTGGTCTTCAGCACAGACTCCTCCGGGAGATGTAGGCCAGAGGGTGGTCTGGTGGCCTGGTGCTGGGATAGACGCTGTTCTGCCTGCTGAATCCTTAGTTCCCTGATCCTCTGCATAAAGTCCAGCTGCAGGGTAGCCGACTCCGCCAGCGGAACCATCTGTGTTTCCTTGTATTGGATGAGTGGTGGTGTGGCTGCTGTGATCTCCCAGTGCTTGCCCTTCTTCCGTATGCGCTCCTTATCGGGGTCGTGAACATTGGAGATGGTTGTCCGGAACGGTCGGAATTTCTCCCGCCCCGCACTCCTTTCCTTGGGTTCTGTTATGTCTATGAGGTAGAGGGAATGCTGATCGACGGGGGGATATGAACGCGATTCTTGGGGATACTTGGCTGCCACTAGGCAGGCATCCAGCTCGACGAACTCCGCTGGTATTGAACTGGTAGCGCTCTGCCCTTCCAAAGCAGAGTCTGGCGAGTCGGCAGTCTTCTTAAACGTGTTTATGTCGGCCAAATCACCGGCCGTAATTAGACTCTCGGGTGGAGGCAGCACTTTGACCCTTTTCTCGTGCATTGTGCCTTGCGCTATGATTCGCAATGGATCCAGCTCATCATCGCTGTCCAGTATATCCTCCACATGGGCGCCTTCGTCCACAATCTCGCGGCCGTTCCATTCGAGATTGTTCAGGGCAATCTTGCCCTTGGATGCGATATTCAGTTCGCTGAGCATTTGGGCCGTTGCCTCGACATCGTCGCGCCTCCTAATCTCGTCCAGCAATTTATCATAAGACTCTTGGAGGCGTCTGCCCTTGTCCGGCAACTGCAGGAGCCGCTTCCTGCGGCAACAATAACAATAATTTGCTTAAATTTGCCTGCGCTGCAGCTAGTTCCAGAACTTACTTGAACGACAGAAATTTGGATTGCCTGTCCCTGATTTCCAGTAGTTCTACGTAGCTGAGGGTTTTCAGGTCCTTGCTGTGCTGCTCCTTGGCCTGGCTTGTGCCTGGAATGCGATTAAGTGGAGCAGCAACAATATTTTGGCTCATTTTCGTAATTTTCGGTAATTTTTTCGCGGGCGCAGCGTGTTTTAGTATGACCGAACTTGGGAACTTAACCCACTTAAGCCCCCTTTATTTAAACAGGATAACAAGTTGAGCCAAACCGCGCAAAATAATACTAATAATATCCTTCATCTTTACTTCAAAAAGACCACGATATTTTCCACCTGAACTGTGCTAAGAATCTTCAAGACTCATCATATTCGTGGAGGGTATTAAAATACCCACTGGTCGACAATGGGATAATGGGCCTCTTTTGGCTGGAAAATCATATTCCTCGATTTTGATATTCGGTTTAATATTACTAACTAGCTAGGAGCTTCAGCTCTGAACACATAATTTTATACAATTGATGAATACGTTTTCTTCAAGATAGGTTAACTGAGAGACTCCGTTTTATCTCAGTGTTTATAAAAAAAAGGATTAAACTAAAAAGGTTAAATCATGCAACGCAAGTGTGTTCATTTTTCGATAGGTGTTGGTGTCAACGGAAAGAGGGGTTGCGCAATCTGTAGATAGATTGTTTTTAGGCTTAAGATAGATAGTGTCTAAGTTTTAATGAAAAAACTATTCAAAAATCATCATTGCAAATGACCCCATCGATAGATAGTACAATCGATACATGACCACTAACATACGCTAACGCGTTTTTTTGGTCATCTACGATAGCGATACCGATAGCGGTTTTATTTTAAGCTTCAAATTCAAATTTGTACAAGCAAGCCCTGGACTATCATTCAAAGAACACTTTGCCTAAAAGATACAGAAGACATCCCGCACCATGTGCCGCTTTATCAAATTGATGTTGTACGGCCTCGCGTTCAGCTTGTGCCTCTGTATTTTTGTGTTTATTTTTGCGATGATTCTGCAGCAATTTCGAATGAATGCCGAGCAGCCGACCGTTTCGAAGCCTCCCAGCCTGACCATAGCCCCTCTGGGACGCATTGTCGGCCTGGAGAAGGTGATTATGTGGGGCGAGATTGAGGAGCAGTCATCGTACACCCTCCAGAAGCAGATTGATCATCTCGTGAGCAAATACGGCTATAGGGGAGAACACCGCTTAAGGGGATGCAATTTGGATCACGCCTGGGGCTATCTGTCGAATACTCCCTGCGTCCTACTAAAGCTGAACCTTGCCCTCAACTTTGAGGCCGATACCTACAGCGAACGCCGCTCCCTGCCCGATGCGGCGCCCTCGGCTTTGCGCCACTATATGATGGAGACCGCACCCGAGAGACGCTCGAATAAGATTTGGGCATCTTGCGATTTCGTGACCAAGAATGTAGAGACGACACTCTCGTTTGTCCCCGAAATGTACTACGATGCCGATGGCCTGTTCACCAGAGAAAACTTTTATGTCGATCCAGATACCCCGGAAAATGAGACTGAGCGGGTTACCCATGAGGAGCCAGGCTTTCGTCGGGTCATTGGGGTAAAGTTTCACAATCTTCCGCCGAATAAGCATGTCCACGTCACGTGCTCTGTGTGGGCTAGGAACATCCCATTGGACTATGCCACCGTGAAGTTTGTGATGTACAGAGTGGATCCGAACGCCCACATTGAAACACTTGACGTTCTATACGATGAAATAGACATGCATGATAATTGATTGATAGTAGGCATACATATATGCTGCCTGCCATACACGTTCTATCTATAAATTCATATTTAAGAAACAGCAAACAAGAAAAACACTGTAACTCTCTGAACAATGCCAGAGGACCTGATGATCCCTGCGGGGCACTACAAAGTGCGAAAGCGTTTCCGCCAAGAGGAGGTAACGCGCAAGAAGCGGGATATTCCCTGGCAAAAGAAGGTCTTGGACCTGGACAACAATCAATTGTTTGGCCGTACGGCCTGGGCGTGGTTCAGGATCGTTGGCTTCTACCTCCTTCTATACTTCTTGATTTTCTTCCTCGTGGCAACGTGGTTGATTATATTCCACTACGCGATTATACCCAAGGATCATCCCAGGTGGACGAAGGGAGCGCCGGGACTGTCCGTTGTGCCCAGCAACACCTCCACAATATCCTGGTACACTCATCTGGAGAAGAAAATCTACCCGATAGCCGACACCATCGACAATGCCCTGAAAAACCTGTCGGCCAATGCGGCTACGTTCTTCCACGAGTGCAACCCGGATACGCTCTGGGGATACGGTACAGCAAAAACTCCCTGCGTCTTCGTCAAAATAAATAAAGTGTACGGCTTTACGCCCAAAACGTACGACAGCGTCGATGATCTGCCATCCAGTGCGCCCGACGAACTCGACGACATATTGGGCAAGTATGGCGGCAAGAGCAGGATCTGGCTGACTTGTAAGGTGACGAAGGGTGCGTCGCCCACCATTGTCTACATTCCGGGTCCCTACTACGATGCCTCCAACAACATGAAGGGAGTCACGCGCATGGTAGCCCTCAAGCTAACGGAAATGCCCCAGAACCAGGAGGTCAGTATCAAGTGTGTGGTCTGGGCGAAGAACATGCCCGTTGATGAGAAGATCCCCGGCAAGGGAAACGTCAAATTCTCGCTTCGTATGCGGGTAGATTCGCAGACGAGGGACTTCTCTGAATCTAGAAGGCTCCCGTTTAAGCCAAGGGCTCCACGTCCGCATATCCGAAAGACCACCAAAGCCGTTCAGAAACCGAAGAAAGCCAAGAAAATGACAGAAAGTCCGAAAAAGCAGGAAGATCAGGAAGAGGAGGATGACGATGACGATGACGATGATGAAGACGATGACGATGCGGAGGAAGAAAACGAAAAAGAGACCACTACTCGGAAACGAGGAAAACAGAGAGTGACAGCCAATCCGAAAAGTAAGAAAGTGACGGCGGGTCCGAAAAGAAAGAAAGTCACGCAGCACTCTAAAGAAGAGGATGATGAGAATACGGAGGAAGAGGAGGAAGAAGATGATGAAGATGAAGAGATCGATAATCAGGAAGATGAGACAGAGAAACCCAATAAAAACAAGGCGCCCAAAAGCCCGAAAGAAAAGAAAGTGACGGCAAGTCCGAAAGGAAAGAAACTGACGGTGCGCCCGAATAAAAAGAAAGTCACGGAACCTCCAGAGAGAAATGTCACAAAAGATTCGACAGCTCGGTCAACTCAGAAACAAAAGAAAGTGAATCCGAAAAAAGCAACGGTGACAAAAAGTCAGAAAAGAAATCCAGGGACGGTGACCCCAGAAGAAGAGGAAGATTGGGAGGATGAGGAAGAAGACGAGAACGAGACCACTACTCGGGCCGCCCGGAAAAAACCGAAGGTCAAACCAAGTTCGAAGCAAAAGAAACCGACAAGGACTCCGAAAAAACAAAAGGTGACAGAAGGTACGAACCAAAAGATAGAGACGCACCCTCCAAAAAAAACCAACGAACCCACTGAAGTCCCACCGAAACCAAAAAAGCGAAAGGTGACCGAGAGTCCGAAAACAAAGAAGGTGACAGAAACAACAACTCCAGGACATCCGGTAGGTGAGGAGCCACCAGTAGAAGAGGAATTTCTTCCAGAATTGACTGAATTCAATCCATACTTCGAGGACTTAAGAACTATTGAACAACACGATACAACAGACGAACCACTTTTCTATTGAAATGGGAATATCGTTTTAAACGACCAGCCTTGGGAATTTTCGCATCATTATCCATCCTACAACAGGAAAATTTATATTTAAGCTATTGAAATTATAGTATTTTTCATTAAAATCGAAAAAAGCTTCTCTGACAACGTAGGGTATAAAAACTTGCATAGGCATACTATAAAATTGAGAAAATTTTTGCCATCCAAGGGTCCAACGATTGCAGAAACTAGTCAGAATTATTTTGCGCGGTTAAAATAGAGGGAGTGTTAGGTGGGTTAAGTTTTTCATCGGTATATTTATGGTATATTTCTGAGGGTCAGACCGTCGCACTGCTGCTCTCTCCGCAACGAAAATATGAGTCTTAATTTTGAATAGCCTATAAAAAAGGGTATGGACACAGGCAAAAACAGCCAAGGGAAATTGCAAGGTTCGTACGAACCTCACCCCGCCGTGTTTTGATGAACAATTTACCTTGAAGACAAAATCGGTTTTTTGATTCAAGGTATATTCGGGAAAGGGGTGTATTTTACCTTGCATGCGAAGCCTTTTCTGGGCCGTTTTGCCTGTTATCCATACCCTCTTTTTCCTCCCATTATGTAGCAAAACGTAGCAAATGTGTAGTTACCGTGTAGTGCTTTTCAGCCCAAAGTTTTTTCACAGCAATTTCTCAGCGGGCGGATTTGATGATTTTGACAACAACAAAAACAACAAAATACACATAACTAATAGTACGGACGCGCAACGTTTTTCCGGCGATTAGGCAAACAATCTAAACAGTTATATTGTACGTCTGCATTTTGATGAATAAATTTTGCCGCAAAACCAACTGATTTGCGACTGTGTGTGTTTGTGTGCGTGCGTGTTGTGTGTCAGCGTGTGTGTGGGGGCATATGACTCGTGTTTTTTAAAAAAATCAAGAAAAAACCAACTTAAATGAAACTGAAACGCCGCTCGTTTAAATTGTATTGAAAAGTGAATGAAAAGTAAATGTTGTAGTTTTTTGGCAGCCAAACAAAAGAGCACCCTCTTCTGGTGTGTACCCCTCACCAGGCAACCGTTTTGTTGCTAAGATAAATTAAATATAGAATAAAATGCGTGTTTGAAGGCTGCGCTGCTCTTTGAGTGCAAGTGCATTTATTTATAGTTCCAATTGAATATGTATGGAAAAGAGAGAAATGCAAATTTAATTTATTTCTGTGCTCTCTCTCTCCTCTCTCCCTCCCTCTCAGCGTTTTCGAAAAGTGAAATACAAATTTGGAAAAAATGCAGATCAAAGAATTGTGAGTATTAATTTCAGTACCTAATTTATGCATAAATCTTCCAGTTGAAATATTGAAATGACACAAGCAAAGCCGCAAAATACTTTGTGACAAATCGATTTTGTGCTCGCTCCCGCTCTCTCCCTCCCCCTCTCTCTGTGTCTCTCGTCATTGTCGCGTGTCAGTCTTTGTTGTTGCTGTTGGTTTTGCTTTTCTGTTTTTTTCTTGTGCATTTATTTTACCGCAAAAATATGTTTTTCTTATCAGAGCTGTCTGCCACGCTCTCTCACTCTCGCATTCTCTCTCTCTCTTGGGCTAGCTACTCTCTTGTCCAGGTGACGTAATGAGTTTCAAGTTGGAGGCTACGTAAGCGTCTTTTCACTTATTGGCCTCTCTCGGCTTCAACCATATTTCTCATTGAATTTCTGCGAAATTCATGTGGAAGCCGACTTTCAATTTGTTTAAGCGCCGCTGACGCCGCCGCCACTGCCACCGGTGCCACGTTGTCAATTTCGCATTATTGTTGGCGGAGCAGTGACTCACTCTCGCTCTTTCTCTCCCCCGCTTCCACCTCTCTTTTGCGCTACCAATGCTTTAATCAAACAAGTTGTAAAATAAATGGTCGATAAGATTTTATTGGTTTGTTGCATAAACTACGGTCTATAGCACATAGGGTTCTTAGTTTTTGGGTTCGGGATCGGTATACAAATGTCCCTCAATCAGAAAATTTGATAAATGTGCCTCCAATCAATGCTATAAACGCCATAAAGATTCTCTTTGCAAATTATTCACGTCTCTGCCTGGAAATCAGTTGCCTCCGCTCTGGCTCTCACACTCCAGCTGGCCGTCCCTCTGTGTCTCTCTTTTTCTCCCACACTCTCGCTCTCTGACATTGATATTCATGATGGGTATTTGGGGGGAATAGACGGGTATCTTTGTCACCAGAGGTGGTATGTAAAAGCCAAGTGCACTACAGTACATTGTAGTGCTTTATATATTATCAGCTTATTTCTATATGCTTGGAAGGAGATAGTGGAGCCATAAAAAATGTACTAGCGCATGGAAATAATATACCTTTTTGTGCTGTAGTGATTGCAGGGCATCCCTTAGTCGTAACTCTTGTTCGGGCATTCTTATTCGTTTTAATTTATGAACGGAAATTGCCAAAAAGGCTGCAAATTGAATTCCTCAATTTATTGTATAATTGATTTTGCCTCTTCTGCCAGCAGATGCCACGTGAAGGTTAAGGAATATTGTAACCATTTGAGGACACGTTAGAAGGTTAACCCTTACAGATCCATTTCCTTATCAATTGAATTACATCGCAGCTCTTACAATCACTCACATCAATCGGGAGAGATTGTAAAGCAAATTGATAAAGGGATTATTTTTGTAAGTCGTATCAAAATCTTGTAGGGAGCGACGACCTGTGGGGAAAACTTACATGGGGCTGAATTTTACCAAAAACTGTATCCTATGGGCTGCACAAATATTGAACTTTTCGCCAATAACCTATCCGTAAACCCACAGAACACATTTGCATATTTGCAAAAAATGTTTTTATGGCCAGATTTTTGGCTCTCGCTGAAGTGTAAAGCAACCATTTGGTTGCTGAAAATTTCAACGCCTTCATTAAATAGGAAATGAAAAATGCACGAAATATATAAGTATGTATGCGTGTACACACGTATTCCCACGTATAGTATGATGACTGCAGGCTGATAAACAATTTGAAATTGCCTCCGGGACGAATGGCAAAAATGAAACGAAACCAGCGGAGCGGTGAAAATATTGTACAATCAACGCGAAAGCCATAAACCAAATAACCTGCACTTTAAATGTGGCATGGCATGCTTAAATGTTGTATGTTTGTGTGGCATCTGCAATTCCGCGGATAAACATCTCTCTCCCTCTTCAACAAATTAATACTTTAAGTGCCAACAAGTGGGGGAGGGAGTACGGTTTTATTGATAGTCGAATGGGAAGTGCATTTATAATAAAAACGCATGCTCCTCTCATAGAGTGCCCTACAGTGCGGTTCGTAGCTATAGGATTACATTTCGGATAGGATATCATTTGTGGTAAATCAATATTTTTAAATATTTCTTTGGTATTTATGACGAGGAGGAATTTAAGGGATTAAGTTTTTGCAAAAATAATCATCAATCATTCTTTTGGTTTAATTTCACATAAAAGGGTAGAGAAAAAGCTTCGCTAATTGTTCGTTATTTAGTTATTGAATATCATATTTGATTTCTCACATCTCTCTTTCTCTCTCTATCTCTTTTGGATAAATAGATTTCACTGTATTCTAGTTGTGGTCTCTCTCTCTTTCTAACTCTTTCAACTTTGATCTCTAAAAGCTGAAACTGGTTTTCAATGTCAGCATGACATTACTCTGGCGTGACTCTGGAGTGACTCTGGCGTGACTTTTACAGCCCCCCCGTACAGGCGTACTTTGTGTCCCAGACATATCTTGGGGTCGGCCCCCCTCCCCCTCGGCCTTCTCTCCACTCTCCAATCAATTTGAAAATGGCACGAGCTCTAATTTCAGTTCCGCCATTTGTATTTTCCATGTACTCGTTTCGTTCTCTCTGATAAGATAACACGGAAACGTTTGTGACCCGTTTGTAGCCGTTTAGGCCTCTATGTGTCTGTGTATTATCATTACACGACTCGAATGTATTGTACTCCCCAAATTGTTGGTAATTGAGTGTGACTGATGGTAGATCAGATGGCCTAATGCCATATGCGGGCCCCGTAGAGACAAAAAAACAAAAAACAACGACTGTTAGACAAGGTTAATCCCAAGGCAATCGTGGGGTTTTTTTGGGTTAAGTTTAATTGTGGGTTTTCACAGGGGGTGCTTATGACTTTGACCCTTACCCACAAGAAGAGAAGGCAGAGTTTTGGAGAGTATATTTGATGTGGTTTATGGATTGGGAAGTGTTTTCTTGTAGGGAAGATATTGTTCGACATTCTGTCTTTCGATTTTAGTGGTATTTCTGAATGGATATCCTAAGGAAACTCTTGTCTCCAGCCTTTCATTGATGGACTTTTTTTCTTCCCTTTAGCTTTAACTTGATTTTGTCATCGATTCAATGAATCATATCCTTGAAAGAAAAACCAACCTTCATTATACATATATCATATATGTGGGATACAACCTCTCCCCTTGCCACCAGCCATTCTCCCGCTTACAATCTCTCCCCATGACATCTTTTACTGCGAAGTAAATCAATTATTACTGTGCTTCAGTTCAGCCTTCAATTGTCGTCCGAGTGTGGCGGCCGCCCACGAAGCGACCGCAAGAGCCATGGCCAGAAGCTCTCTCCCACCTTTTCCCCCCCTCTGACCCGTCTCTCTCTCTCTCTCGCAGCTCGAGTCAAACTCAATCTGTCCCACTCACACATTCACTTTCCATTTTCAATTATGCCAACAAAAGCAAACAATTTCCCTGCTTGTGCTTGGTCACAGGGGAAGAGAGGCAGAGAGGGAGAGCGCGAGACCCCCTTGAGGGTTTTTTTCTTTCGGCAACTTTGGTCTCATTAAGAGAGCACTCTTCCTCCCCCGCTGCTCTGCTGCTGCGTCTCTGCTGCTGTTATTGTTTGTTTCGTGACTCGGTTGACTTTTATTTATTCACTCTTTCTTTCTTTCTGTCTGTCTTCTCTTATTCTCGCCGGCGACAGTCCTTAAGCAAACCCCAGGCCCTTGTAGCCCCGCCTCCTCCTCTGCTTTAGCTCTTCGCATATGTGGCGATTTCTTTTGTACTTTGTTTCGTGTTGTTTCGTTTTTGCATAATTTCTTTATTGCTTTCATTGTGTGTCACTCGCACATGCACTGAGAGAAATACAGAAAACAGTCTGCATTAACGCCTCTAGCCATTGGAATTATTTGCTTTGGGTGTCACTGTTTTTTCTCCCAGTGCATGGGAATTGGAGGACTTTGGCGTGTCTCCTATCGTTTGATCTTTCGAATTGGGATATTTTTGACCCAGTTTGTACATAGATGTTGTTTCTATTATTTCTTTCGCTCCCTTAGGACCCCGCCCCTTGGCAGACCCCTCTGGAAATTTATTTACTCGCATATATGTATCTGTATCTGGTTGGGACACAAACTTTTGTCACAAACTATTTGGGTTTTTGTTAGTTCTTTTGGGGGCCTTAATATTTTCTTCTTGTTTTTGATTTTTCGGATTTTATGAGTTTCTTCTTCTCGAAAGAAAACTTTCCAAAAAGAAAGACAAATATACACAGGAGAAATAATTTTTTATTGCCAATTTATTTGTGCGACGAAAACTTTTACAATTTGAATTGATTAAACGATGAAATTTGATGAAAAAAAAAGTTTCGAGTACCAGTTTTGTTCAGAGTAATTGAAGGATTAGGAAGGAATATTTAAAGAAGAAAAACAACAAAACCATATAAATGTTATGGATAATTGAACTGTCAATAACTTTGAACTTTAATTAAAGAATAAATAAATGAATCAAGAGCCTTGAAATCGAGGGAATTTCTCAAGGGAAATTCATATTTTTCTGTGTGTGTTCAATAAATATTGATTAAAAGTGGGGTTTTTAAGGGAAATATCTCTCACTAAAGAACTGTTTGAACTATGAACTCTTTAACTTGAATAACATCTTTAAGAGAGGTTTTAACAGTCGGCGGCACCTTCGAAATACTCGACCTGCAATTTATTTGCCTTTTCTAATTAGTTTTGTACTCGCGAATAACTTCATTAACAATTAAGAGGCGGCATTAAAAGGAGGTTTTAATTTACCTTAAGCCCTAGCTCTTCCCCCCTTGAGGGGGAATCCCTGGCATGAGCTAAGTCACAAGTTAAACACTGAATAAAAAGGGGGAAGGGGCAGGGGCAGCACACAGCGAACTTTAACCTTCTAGGGGGCGAGGGGGGATGCATAGTTTGAGGCAACTTTTCTGGGCGACCACGCCCACCAGTTGCTCTATTCGGATGGCAATTAGGAAACACATCATTACAAGTGTCAACAGAAGGGCCAAAAGGTTAATTGCGTCTGGAAGCAGCAGCGGCCGACAGCAGTCTCCTCGTCAAACAAAGCACCAAAGTTCCCAGCTTCTCAGTTTGATTGTTCCTCGTGTTTTGTGTGTTTCGTTGTGGGGGGTTAAAGGCAGCAACAACAACAACAACAAGACCAAGATGACAGCTCATAAACTTGGGATGGGGCCAAGACGGTGCCGTGTGGTGCTTTATGGCCAAGGAAAAGCTTTGCTTTGCACCTTGATGTGGCATGCCGAACGTAGCTTGGCTTCCTGCCGCCATCCTGCATTATCACCAGGGGAGCAATTTAACCCTTTATTACTACCTGTGCAAATGTTTCATTTTCCCCGTGACTTGGGCTCCTAGATTGCAGTTTCTTGGAAAATAACTTGCGCAAAATGTGGCCAAAACGTGAACTTCCTCTTTGGGGAGCATTGCCAATCATGTTTAAATGGAAGGTTTTGGTGGGATTTTGGAACCATTTCTCGGGATTTGCTGTAGGTCTTGGAATGTTCAGGTTACATTAGGGGTAATCCAAAGAAAGGAAAGTGCATATCCACTTCGTTGAGCGGCTGCGTGTTGCCTCTTGTAAATATTTTCTGGCTAAAATTTGTGTGCAATTAAGTTGTCCCGCGTCCGTCCCCCTCCCCGAACGACACTGCTGCGGCATGTGGCACCACCAACAGCCGCAACAAAAGTCAGGCAATGCGAAAAAAGTTTCAAGGCTGTGGCATAATTATGCTAAGGACCCACAGCACACTTCCTGCAGCCCCATCTGCAACCCTTTTTTTAATGTTTTTTTTTTTGGTAATTAGAGGACGAATGTGTGTGTGTGTTGCACGTTTTGGAGGCTGCCACATGCAAATGGGAAAAGCTTTTGGGGCGGCACTTTTGTCGCTGGCTATTTTCGGTCAATGCATATTTATGTGTCGGCTTTTAATTAAAATGCGAGAATTTAAATTATGCTGCAGGTGGAACGAAACGAGTCGAAACGAATCTCAACTTTGCGGCAGATACGTATACGCCCGAGTGGCGCTTGAAAGTGTGGCAATTATCAGCTAGAGTGTTTGCCCCATCAAAGTGCTTATCTTACGTACATATGTATATGTATCTGTATCTTCAGAAAATCTTTAGAGTAGTTGTGGCTAAGTGGCGTGTGGTCTGTGGTCTGTGGTCTTGTGGCCATTAAATAAAGTTATTTCTAAGATTTTCTGAGCAAATACTTTTGTGGCTTGTGTCAAACCCCCAAGTAACCCTTCCCATCCTTCAGTAGAGTATCGGAATGTCCTTTTATGCACAGGGCCTGCATTTAATTAAAAAAATGTTATATACACGTACACACGATATATACATATATAAAACTTAATTAAAATCTTGTAATGTTACCTTTTATGCCTTCATTCGCTTATGCACTCTCTTTCTCTCTCTCTCTCTCTCGTTGATATTTCTCCTTGCAGCCGCGTGACTTTGCCATTGACTGTGGAAGAGGTAAGAGAGGAGAAGGAGGAGACCCGCAAGCCGCTCAGAGTTAATGAAACTTTTCTTCTCTTCTTCTTTTTTTGTCAGTATCAAGTTGCACAATTGTTCTCAGTGGCCGAGGCGTCGAAGGAGAACACAGGCGGTGGCGAGGGCATTGAGGTATTAAAGAACGAGCCCTTCGACAACTTTCCACTGCTCGGTGAGGAGCCACTTAATCCTGTTTATTCTACCGATGATCCGTATAATAATCCTTGTTTGTTTTCTTGTGTTTTCCTGCAGGTGGCAAATACACTTCCGGTCAATATACATATAAGATCTATCATCTGCAATCAAAAGTTCCAGCGTACATAAGACTATTGGCACCCAAGGGCTCTCTGGAGATCCACGAGGAGGCATGGAATGCATATCCCTATTGTCGAACAATTATCACGGTAAATGGACTAAGGGGTCTATCATCAATGGGGGATGTGGGAAAAGCGTGGGGGGGGGAGGGTGATCATTAGATTTATGACAAAAATCTGTTGTTTTGATTTATCGAATTTCTAGAATCCCAAATTCATGAAAGATGCCTTTAAAATAATCATCGACACGCTGCACGTCGGCGATGCGGGCGATTCAGAGAATGTAAGTGATGGATCCCTGACAAAATGCCACTAATTTGTGTTCCTCCTTTTCTCCTTTTCATTTAAAATCTCATTAATCGCCATATATCGACTAATATCAATCAATCAATCGATCGTCCATGCAATTTGCTTGTGTGTGTGTTTCCCCACTAACGTTTTCCTTTGGCTTGGTTTTGGCTTTTATGGTTTATGGCTTATGGTTTTTGATCTCTGTACAACTGTTCTGTTCTTCTGTTAATAAGAATCCTGGTTATATGGACAAAAACTTTCTTATGCATATCGAATCAAATCATTTCGACAATGACCTTGGCGATCTACCGAATGTGAGTGTGTGCGGTTGGCCGTGGCCTTTAAATTTTATATTTTGCTACATTTTTGTTTCGCTATTTTTGCTTTTCCATGTGCATGTCACTCGCTAGACATATATAGAATCGCTTTCAATGTCTTGAATGAAATTGTCTTAAGGTCTCTGTTCTGTTTGTGATCTGTTTCCCCTTTGATCTATTCCTACTGTGTGTTGCAGGTGCACGAGCTGACGCCGGATAAGCTGAAAGCACGCGAAGTAGTGCACATCGACATTGCCAATGATCCGATATTGCCTGCAGACTTTAAGCCCGAAGAGGATCCCACCACGTAAGACCTCAATCTATATGCCCATAAACTGATTTTAAATGGCTTTTCCCCTTGCCAGCTACCAGTCAAAGAAGACGGGACGTGGGCCCCTGCTCGGTGCCGATTGGAAAAAGCGTGTGGATCCCGTGATGACCTGCTACAAGCTGGTGACATGCGAATTCAAATGGTTCGGCCTGCAGACAAGAGTAGAGAATTTCATACAAAAGTCAGAGCGACGCCTCTTCACAAACTTCCATCGGTAAATGACACCCAAAAGGGAGCACTCTTAAGCTCTTAATTAATCGAATCTTGTGCCTCTGCTATATTTATAGCCAAGTTTTCTGTTCTACTGATCGCTGGTACGGTCTAACAATGGAGGACATTCGCGCCATCGAGGAGAAGGTCAAGGAGGAGCTGGACAAGGCGCGGCAGGTGGGCGAAGTGCGGGGCATGCGTGCGGATGCCGATTAAATATATTGTAGAAAATTGTAAAACAAATTATATAAAATGTGTATTGTAAAAAGGAGTAAAACAACAAAAAACTAAAAGGCAAAGCAAAACAACAAAATGGAGATACAAATTGCATAAATAAATTTACGTTATAAAAACAAAGAAAAACAAAAACAAAAAACACCAAAACTGAAAATCGAAAATCGAAAAGCAAAAGCATTAACGAAATGAAAGCAATTTTGAAGGCGCGGCGGCATCAACACCACAAAAAAGAACACCAAGTGTATGACAAGAAAGTACGAGTAAGAAATAAAAGTTTAGTTACATAATAGTAGCGCACCCGACAACAAACAAAAAAGAAAAACCAATTCCAGAAACCAGAAATTGCAGGAAAATCCCCCCTCAAAACCTGCGGTCGCATGTAAAATGTATTCACGGAAGGGATCCCGCATCCCGATTCGTTTTTCCTGCTCCTTGTAATGGAATTCAAAATGGAAATTGATTTAAGTTGCATTTTGTATAAATTTTGAAATAAAACCAAATGACAGATTAATGTAAAAAGTTAAACACACAAAAGCCACCACACCACACATTCGAAATGAACGAATAAATGAGAATCGAAAGGGACGGGAGGGAGGGGAGTCCAGGGGAATGCCTGGAGGCGGGTTCGCAGAGCATTTTGAACATGTGATTTCTATAGAAGTAGGGAGAGACAGACGGAGAACAGATTGTTGAGGCATCTCAACAGATAGATATGAGCATTCCATGCAGTGCAGTGCAGGGTTTATTTGCATTCATGGTTTATGCATCCTGTGGTCTGCATTTGATTTGCATTTCAAAAGTCAATGTAACAATCTGCGGAGTAGGCGGGGTAGCTGGAGGCTCGCTGGTGGTTGTGGGGCAAACCACTTGCCTTTCATTGGGTTGAAGGACTTAAGAAGGATCGTGATAGCCAATAGTTTTCTTCGAGCATAAACAAACACTAGAAAACTGCCAATATCTACTCGATAAAAATGCCTAAAATTATACTAAAAAAAAGAAAGAAAATAAAACCACCTTAGACACACAATCCAATCCAATCCAATCCCCACTTCTGCACAGGACACGTGTCTCTCGCTTCAAAGAACTTTTTACCATCTGCCGCTACATTTTCTGCTCAAAGAAGGAAGGAAGGGAAAGAATACCTTATACATACTATGTATCTACCGTGTATATCTATATCTATCTATGAAACGTCCATTTTGAAACTAAAAAGAATCTATACCGAACAAAACAGAAACAAGAACTACAAGCTTTTTAAATGATCTTAAAGCACACTTACACACAGAGACAGACAATGCACCCGATTAAAGATTAAAGATTAAAGACATTAACATTTAACATTAAAAGGCTACAAATGGATATAATTGAACCTCATAGGCTTAAAGCATTCAGATGGACATCAAGTGGGATTTAAGTGCGGGGGGAATATTGCATGCGGCACTCCATGGATTGAGGGAGCAGCTTTTATTTTTATATCACTCAAACAGACGAACAGACAGACACAGATACGATAGCCACTCGGAAAATATATACATAAACATAGTGAATGCATCGGCATATGTACATACATACATCCATATATACACTTGAATCGAGGAGTACTTTAAAAATATAATAACAGCAAAAGCGAAATGCGTTTACGAGATATATACAACATACAAAATACTACCTATATATATACATACAGACCTATATATACATACATATATTGATTCCATAATGTATAAAAATTGCCTCAAATTGTTATTTGCTGTGTGAGTTCTCGTTCATGCGTTGGTTCGTTGGTTAATGATTGATTGATTGGTTGATTGATTATACATACATAGATACTTCTCCTCTCTACTCAATGTGCGTGCGTTCGCCTCTCTAAATGTGTTTACTGACGTGCTAAAAAATCCTCGGCCGGATCGAGGTTAAGTCTATAGAAAAAAAAAAAACTCCAAACTGTCGAGGGACTCAAATTTCAAACAATAATTCCTTTATAGGTCCCATCCAGCATCCATCGTATAACCCCTACGTATATCTATAATATATTTCATTTGTATGGCACCACACTCTCACCCTCTCCGCCCCCTACACCACACACATCTATTAGAACGAAGAATACCAGAATTTTAGGCATTAAAACAAAATATACACCACAATTTAGACAAATTATAAGGATATACATACTATATAACGATTCATTCTCATTACATAAAAAAACCATCAAATTCGATTTCAATTTTTGAAATTAATTCGCGTTCAATTTTTCTCGAAATAAAGCTAAAAACAATATAAAAACTAAAGGAAAGCCCTATTTAATTAAAGCTTTTAATTAACGTATAATTTGATAAACGTAATACAAATGATAATAATAATTATATATACAACATAAATGATTTTTAAAAAAATAAGCTAAAATTACAACAACAAATTGATAATTGATACATGAGTAAAACGCAAGTTATAAGCTGTTAAAAAAAAAAAACAAAACAAAACCAAAACAAAAAATTAAAAATAAAAACGAAAAACCATACAAATTGTATTGTAGAAATTATTTTAATTAATTAAAATAAAGCATTATTAATTATATATAATATACACACACGCGCGGACAATTGACTATTTATTCGTATAGAGTATAGAGTAGGATATATGGTATGTAGAGGTATTTTGAACATTAATATAGGGATTATGGTAGTAGATTCCATTTAATAGTTGGCCAGCCAGAAGAATTGACGCACTTCCTCCTCGTTGGAGGGCCGGCAATGGGGCGGCGGTGTGATCAGGGAGTTCCGCAGCGCAGTCATGGCCATCATGTTGCGCTTCACGGCCTTCGATAGATCTATAATCCGCTCTGGATAGTGGACTCCAATCAGGCACTCGAACTTCACCTGCTGCTCCGCCGACAAGCGCCAGGGTTCGTGGCTGTAGACGGATATAAAATGAGGATCAGAACTCCCTAAAAATTAATCAGCATACTCACATATATTCCTTGGGTAAATTCTTCAGCTCTGGGACATATCTCCTAATGTAAACCCCCTCCGGATCGAGTCGCTTGGCCAGTGCCACAGGACAGGTCACCAAAGAAGAGTCCAGCAGGCGCTCAAAGGCCGAGCTCGAGACCCACATCCAGTTGCCAGCACACACCGACCAATCGGCATCGAGCAGATACTTGAGAAAGTGCTTCAAGCCGGGCTCCCAGCTCTGCCAGAGCCCGCCGCGGGTGAGGAAGGTGGCCACCGTGTTGCGGAGCGTGTGATGCAGCCAGCCCTCGGCAAGGAGCTGCCGCATGGCACCATCGATCAGGGGGAAACCCGTCTGTCCCAAGCGCCAGCGCTGCAGGAGATTTTCATCGGGTTTTGCCCAAGGTATGGTCAGGCATATCTCATTTCCCTCCATGCGGTCGTAGTTGGGATTGTTCACAGACATCGTGTAGAAGTACTCCCGCCAGATAAGCTGCCCGGTGATATGTGCGCCGCCCTCTATCTGAACGCCGCGGACACAGGCCGCCAGCTGGACATTCTCGAAGAGATCGTGGACGCTCCAGTAGAAGCGGCGCACGGAGAGGCAGCCGAAACGCAGGTGGGCGCTCATGGACTTGGGAGCCTCCTGGATGTTGGGATTCGCCTGGTTGGGCAGATAGTAGCCCCGCTCAAAGGCGTTCCTCTCCACCTTCAAGCGCTCCTCGAGGAGCGCCAGGGCCTGGGTCTCGCCGCCGCGCCAATTGATCTTCGCCAGGAAGCCCATGTTGTCGCTGTAGATGTTGAAGTGCTCCGGATTGGGAACCTGATCGAAACAGCCCAGATGTTGCCTTAGTTCCGGCGCCAGTTGGATAAATGTGGCATCATTGATGTGGGCATCGATTGCGGGTCGCGGTGGCACTCCAATGATTTGCACGGTGTGCTGCAACAAGAAAGGACTATAACCACAAGGAATCTATAAAATAAAGGGAAATAATTACGAGGAACATCTGATAGGTCAGTGGAGGTATGCCGCCGTTCGTCTCGATCACGAGGCGTGGATCCCACAGCGTGTGGGACACTTTCTCCACGTACTCGATGCCCAGCTCGCGGCACAGCAGCCTGGCGGACTCATCCCGTTCGTTCCAGATGGGCTCGCAGTCCAGTTCGGCACAGATCTTGTGCAGACGCACTTGCTCGTGCAGCCGCCGGAAGATGAGCGTCGGCTCGCCCTCGAACACGAACAGCCGACCGCGTCCCTCGGTGGCCGACTGCAGTTGCTCGTCGAGGTCCTGCAGAGAGTCCAGCAGGAAGCGCATACGGTTGTAGCCCACGCTTTTGGTGCCTTGGAAGGGGAGAGGTAATGATTGCTCAGAAAAACAGAGAAAATTATAACATATACTCCTTTCCTCACAAGTTGCTTATTTTTCTGCACTTCTCATAAATTTCGCAGCAATGCCATGCGTATGATCATTTTTCGTTTAGTGTAGCTTTCAAACAGTAGCTTTTTGCATGTTCAATTGCTGTAATTAATTCTCACTCTCTTCTCCCGCAAATGCTGGCGTAAAGCTCCCCTCTTATCGGTAAAATTAGTAGCTTTTTCGCGCGCTCTCCCACTAAGCTGCAAGCCGCTTAAAAGTGCATTCTATTCCACAGATGTGCTCTCTCGCTTCCTCTCTGTGTAGGGTTCTTAGCATTCTCATCACATCTCTCACTCTCTCTCCCTCTCTCTATTAACTTTACCACTCTCCCATTGTACAAACCCTCGCCGCAAATCGTATTAGAACGCACCGTTTGTTTTGCTCCGCCATGCAAAAGCGTTCGCACCTTCCCTACAGCCCTCCCCCCTTGAACCATCCAAAAAACTGCATTTGCTGAGCTTTCATTCCGCCACAGAGTGGGTGGAAGACGCGAAAATAAAAATGTGATAACCGCAGTGCAAGACGGAATAAAATCAAAAACGATATTAGCTCACAGACGGAAAGAGCATGCAAATTGTAAACGAGATGAAAAATACTCTTATTGTGCTTTTCCCCGCTCTCACCTGCACTCTCGCCGTCGAATATGAATACGGGTATCAGGGGAATGCCTTGATCTTTCTCCTCGAGGGCTGCCAACAGGGCGGGATTGTCGTGCAGCCGAAGACCATGACGGAACCACAACACATTTGCACCACGGGGCACCATCTTGGGCAGCGATCTCTTGCGATCTCCTGGAAGTGGATTACTACGAGATGTTCTCTTCCAGAACTTTTCTTTGGATATGTTCTTCTCTAAAATATTCAATAGAGGAATAGGTAAAAAGCGTTCTAGTGTTCCGTTAACGCGTGCGCTCGCGCCGGTTGCTTATTGAAGAATGTGTCGACGGAGACGGAGATTCCAGCCAGGCAGCAGCTTAACTGTTGCTTGGATCCGAGCGAACCTTGCAATCGCTGCTGAATAGCGGCCAAGGTACAATGATACAGAGGTAAGGTGCTTCCACTCTTCCAGCGGCATATTTTCTCCCTGCCTTCCACTCCAGCACCGGGGTCAGTGTGAGCTCTCTGGTTGAGGCCTCACCTTATTAATACTATATACTTTGCCCTCAAGCCGCGTCATCAGCCCACGGTTCGTTGCATTGTGAGCACTGCCCCGTGCCAACCCATAGAACAGTTCTAACCCACTACCCCCCCAAGCTGTCTTTAACGCTCTCTCTCTGTATAATTCTCTATGTTAGTGGCTACGCAGTACACAATGCACACAACTGTTGCTCGGGGGGAGGGAGTTTTTCTGTAACCTTGCGGAAGGGTATATGATGTTTGTGCAAAGGGATAAAGGATATAGAGATTATAGGATGACAGCAAAAACTTATCGAATGGTTGTCGAAACAGCGCAGAAAACCACTTCTTAGATCTTATTTTTGCTCAAATTATCACTTCCAATATTTTAAAATTATATTTATAACATCAATTTATATATGACCTAAATAATCGCTAATGAGATTAAAAACATAAGGATCTTATCCTTCCATCGCAATCAATAACAAATTATGAGTAAATCCTTAAAAATGTACTACAGGGTATCCAGAGTATCCTTTAGCCAGTGCACTCCAAGCCCCATGGTTAAGTGTAATCCATTGCTATGGTAACCCCAAACCCCAAACCCAAATCTACTGCCAGCTTTGCCTGATGACCCCCCCGTCCTGGACCCCATGCTGTGCACATGCATCACAAAAAACTTGGGCTTTGCATGTTGCTCAGGCAACGCCAGCAGCAGAAGCCGGGGCAGGGGTTGCAGCATGCAACGTGCGTAACGGGATGTCAATGGCAAAGCTCTGGACCGCACGTGTACTGGCGCACACACACACACAACATAGGGGAAGGATGGAAGGGGGAACCTACGTACATGCAACAGTCAAGCAAAGCCTTTCAGATGTTCCTGATAATGATGATGATGACGACGCGGTTGACGGAAGAGCAGGCGGCGGTGTCTGCCACAGGGAGCTGGAGTGCCGTGCCACTGGGAGCGGAACAGGACGAACAATAGTAGAGCAGGACTCGCACAAAACAATCTCCTTAGAACTGTGTTGGCTTTTATGAAACTAATTTGCTTTCATCGATTGGGAAAGGGACACGAAATGGAATTAAATTGCCAGAGATTTACCCCATTATTGTTCATACGCCATGTGGGCCAACGGAGATGTATGGTTTCCTGTTGTGGCAATTGCAGCTGATGGCAGAGGTTTCCTTGGGGATAGTTTACATGGATACTCGTGCTCCTGCTCCTGCTCCTGTGTCTCCTTGAACGATTTATCATCTGCCACTGGCAGTGTCTTGCCCCTCGCCTCCAGCTCAGGTGCACTGAGGCTCCGCTGTCTAGCACTGGCTGCTTGTCTCATTCTTTCGCTCAACACGTCACCAAGGACTTGACGGGCAGCCTTTGTGCAATCAGTGGAAGGGGCACACACATCCACCCTACTGGGGGGCAGGGGCACCTTCTGCTGTTCCGTTCTGTTCCTCCATTCGTGCTGATGCCTCGTTACATCAGAGGCAGAGGCAACAAATTGCAGATTGCAGCTTGCAGCTTGTTACGGGGAAGATTGCAAGGAAAATGAAAGGAATTCTGGTGTATATAATTCTCCAGTTGTGTATTGTCTTCTCCTCGTTGGAGTTCTATGAACCGAACAGCAGGGCAATAGTGTAACAGTTCATGTCGCAATAACCAACTACACTCTGCCGCTCTGCCTCCCTTCAAAAGCGACTGAAAAACAATAAAATCTAGAAAACAATCCATCACAATTTTGTGTAGCGATTATGGGCATTGCTTTTTAAGGGGTTTCGCCGTTTTTTGTTGAGTGAATCATTCATGGAAATGTCACATTCAGAGGAGGGAGTGCTCTTTGAAGGGTGAACGAGCATGTGCACGTAACTGAACGAGTCATCAACCATTGCATTGTTAACTTTCCAGATTGACAGAAATCTGACAAATGCCATAAATATACGAATTACGAATTTCATATGCGAAACAATAGAGAACTTTCCATGTTGGTAAAGAGATTATGCATGTACTTCTCTGGCAAACAGAAAGCTGCATAGATTTTCCAGGAATTTCACTTAATCACGTAAGTGTGTCCACAGAAAGTACGTAGCCGAAATGTAAGCCAAGGCTTTAAGGATCACCGGAAATTCATTGAGGAAACTTTATCTTCCCGAAACGCACTGTAAATATATCTATTACCCACTGGCATGAAGGATACAACTTGCTATATATATTATGCATGGATACATACCATATGCCACTTGTGTTTTCTTTTTCCAGAGCCTCATCTGCCTCTCTTTTCTCTCTTTGTTTCCCACGATTGTTATTCTTTGACCCCTTTTGTGTGGATGTGTGTTTGTCCTGTGCTGGCAGGACTTTACTGACTTTACTAATACAAGTTAAACAATCAAACATGTCAATCATACGCACCATTGGACCCTTTGTATGCCACCAATACCAGCAGCAGCAACAGCACCAGAGTCAGAGCCAGGCCCATGGAAAGCCATTTGTCTGGGCAATAATATTTAATGTAATTTTATGTGCATATGTATAGGTATATGTATATGTATGTGGGCGAGGTCCTGGCAGAGGACTTAACTACTCTATGGGGAAACTTTTGCCTGGCATTCAGATTTAATATGCAAAAGGGTTCCGTTCCGTTCCACCTTTTCAACTTAAGTGAGATTTATATTACTTTTCTTTTTTACCTGTTCGGGGGAATGCCATCACACTTTTGTTACATATTTCACAATTTTATTGTCCTTTTTTTTTAATTTAAAGTAATTTTTAAGCATCATTAGGGCTTTAAAAAATGAACAGAATAGTTTACATTTTTTACAGCATATTAATCATTATTAAAACAAATTTCAGAGAATATTATGATCTTTCTAATGACCTTGATTTCAGTATTCCCAAAAGTATTTCCTTGTCAACACAATTCTATAAAAGTTTATTGATCTTTAAGGTTTTACTTTTCTAATATTTTCTCACACTTATTCTTAACAAACCTGCTCATTTTCTCTGGCTTCTGGCAAGGGTTTTCCTTGCAATAATGAAGAGAAATGGGATATGATTTCAATACTCTATACTTTTTAATCATAAATAATGAATCCTCTATAGATCCTATCCCCATCTCTGCCCATTTTCCTCTTTCCAGAGATTATAGAATATTTAATTTCAAATCCCTTTTGCTGCAGGGCATTCTCTAAAGTCGACTCGATGGACAGACACTTAAATATGGCGGCGGCCCGCTGGCTGCTTTGTTATTTTTATGCGAAATTGTTGTAATTGGCTTTTCGTTTTTGTTTTTGCCACTGCGACTATTGTTTATTTTTAGTCAAAATGCCAGCCGCACGCTCATACTAACGTACGAGTATGTACGTACGTAGTCCGTACCACATGTGGCAGTGACGGGTTGCGTGTCTGTCAACGTCTGAATGTGGCGTGTGTGTGTGTGGGAGGGAGATGGGGCTGTGGAGTATCTATGTGCGTGTGTGTGGCGGCTGTCAACAACAGGCGCCGCCTGTCAAGGCAAACAAGGAGAAGAAGAACCACCGCCGTATAGGCCATACGCAGACTATGATCAAAAAGAAGGTGGGCCAATGCTAGACCTCCCAGAAAAGGCCTTACCTGCCTTTGAATATACCTTGGGGCCATGGCTAGGGCTGCCCGTCCTTCCAGGCATTGTTTGATTTACCTGCGGGTATCACGGACAGAAGAGGCATTCAGGCGAAGAAAACTACGCCCACACCCACGCCCACGCCCACGACCACCCCCAGCCCTTAACCGCTGCCCCTTTCCACCCCGCCTGTGACTGGCTGACGTACAGTGAACCCTGGTTGACTGACGTCAATTGGTAAAGTTAACCGAATCGTATTAATTCCTTGCGTCGTTTTCAAATTGTAAATATTGTTTCATGTCTGATTGATTGCACCCAACAGACCGAGACCCAGGCCCAAACCATCTCCTCTCTCTGTCTTTCTCTGGTCGTGTCCACCCTTTTTGGGGCATATATGCCGACAAATTAACTCGCATAAATATTTATGTAAAGCAAAAGGGACTGGACGGCTGTGGACCCTGAGTCCAGCCACCTTTGAAGTCAAGCCAGCAGGTGAATTGGCAGGACCTCCTCGCCCTGCAGCTGCAGGGGGGCCATGTTCCGCTTTATTGAACAGTTGTTCAGTGGGAATGCAATCCAATGGATTGCTGGACTAATTAAATGGGGGATTGGCGAGACGAGAGCAAACAAGCGAGCGCGTTCTTTGGCTAACTTCAGGGGGTCCCTCCCACCCAATAACCCCATCAATAAGAGCCCGGAACAATGCCATTCATGGGGGGCTCAACTTTAACAACTTTTCCAATAAAGGAAGGAGGGAAGGCGGTGCTTGAGCCACGTTTATAACCCCATTTCACCTTGTGGCCCGCAAAGTATTAAGCCGCATTATCGCAACTGATGTCCAAGAGGTCCATTTGTCCAGGAGCTTAGGGTCACACCCTTTGGCGGAGAAGGAAATTGGCTAATATTCTTGATATATTCGCAGTCATAAATCCTTAACAGGGCTATTAATTCAGAGGGAGAGGGAGACACCTCGGGGACCAAATGGAAGCCAGAGGAATCTGTCACAAGATAAAGTTTTTGGTTGCAGATTCGCCTTTTGGGGTAGAGAGAACGAATGATACTACGCTCCTCTCTGGGCGGAAAAAACAACAAACAGCGAACAAATATTAATCACTCTTAATGAATTTGATGTCAGGCATGAATATGATTATACAACTTTCTTCCCCGGCAACGAGTGTGAGCGCGCTGACAGATAG